AAATTAGATAAACCTTATTATAATAATTTATACGGAAAACGTACTTTAGAATACATGGTTCCGAATTTCATTAATCAGTTACCAATAACTTTTCAAAATGAAATTAATCATAAAATATTAAAAACAAATTAAAAAACTATTATACGAATTGTATATATCAGACTTCAGACTTAAAAAATAATAAAATTAAATACTATAATCCCCACTAACTATATTTCCTATATTTACCTATATGATATACAACCTAAGAATAATCATTATATTCGTTTACTATTAAATATTAAGTAACTAACTAATTGATACCCCCTGTATACGCAACGCAGGAACGACAGGTTTTTGACGCGGTGAAGTGGGCGGTGGCAAGACTCACACCTTTCTTGTTCACTATGAGGTAACTACGTATGTATTGCCGATTTACCGCGTGTTGACCGTGCCAATTGCTGTTTAGTATTTAATAGTGTTGCATTAAACATATTTTGTAGATTAAGGTGTAGCTCATATTTAAAAAAATTTATGTCGGCGGCTTGTGGTACACGGTAAAGTTTTCATTAAGCTTATGTTGTACCATATTATATCCTCTTTATCATGTATAATTGTTAAATAAATAAATTATATATATATAATCGGAATCGCGGAAACGGCTCCGACGATTTTCATAAAATTTAGTGTCGAAGGACTTTCGGGGGCAATAAATCGATCTAGCTAGGATTTATTTTTAGAAATTGTCGTTTTATCCGTGTTTTCAGGCAATAAAAAACTGCTACAACATCATTAGAGTAAGAATGTAAATTTTGACTGTTTATTAATGATTATAAATAGCTTAATCGGTATATTGGGCGGTCACAAACTCGTAATACCCTGGTTCGAGTCCATCTCTAGACCGATTTTTTTTTTTAAATTTTTTTTAAGTTCCCTTCTTTTATTTTTTCTCTCTGGTCTGGACGCACGCGTTGCATAACAGACATTTCGGACTTTATTTTTTCAAAGGCTGCGACTATACGCATACGCATTTCTGCCTCGGTATCGCATGTTTTTTGGAATACAGTCTGCTTAATCGTACCCCAGAGATAAAAATCTAAAGGTGTGAGATCAGGTGATCGCGCCGGCCAGTTGACCGGTCCACCGCGGCCAATCCATCTTTCACCGAATTCACTATCCAAAAAACTTCTTACACAACGGGAGAAATGCGGTGGAGCACCATCGTGTTGAAACCACATGCGACGAACGAGGTCTAAATTTATTTCGTCAAGTTCATTGCTTAGTTCTCTCGCAAAAAACGTCCGTAGTTTTCACCGTTCATTGTGTGGTCAAGGAAATACGGACCAATAATTTTGTCACCTATAATTCCCGCCCACACATTGATTTTCCATCGGTGTTGAAAATGGCTTGGTTTATACGAATGCGGATTTGTCGTTAACCATACGTGTTCATTATGAGCGTTAAGTACACCTGTTCTTACAAAAGAGCATTCATCCGTAAAAAGTACGCGGTTCAAAAACTCAAGATCTCCTTCAACCTTATCAAGTAACCATCTACAGTAATCCATTCTCGGCTCGTAGTCGTTGGGAAGAAGACACTGAACTCGACGATAATGATACGGGTGCTGGCCATCATCTTTGAGGGCTCTCCAAACGCGCATATGGTTCACACCTAGTTCACGTGTCACCGAGCGCGTGCTCCGCGTCGCATCTTCCTCAAACATGTCGAGAATGTGCTCCTCGATGTCGTCGTCGTACATCCTCGGTCTTTCTGAAGCTGTACGTTATTGATCACGGCCATGCACACTGCCAGTATTGTACATACGAATGTGAAGTCGTTGGAATACAATTTTTTTCTTAGCAAAGCACTCCCCGTAAAGTCTTCGTGCTGCTGCATAATTGCAGTTACATTTCCCGAGACACATCAACATATTAAAATATCCCTCGTTTGAGTAAGACATCGCACACAAGTCACTCACGGCGGAATATTAATTTCGCAATATAAAACACAACCGTCAATATCAGTGCTAACGCGCTACTGGTGCTTGATGCTTGTTTGTTTGCATAGACGTGGCAAAGCTATTGTACTCTATAACATAATTTTGATATTTTCTAAATCGATAAACATTTCGTGATTTTTTTATGTTATTTTTTTAATAATAGTTATTATTTATTTATTTACTTCAGACAGCGTCCGTAAGTGTTATTAAGAAATTAAATTATAGCTAGGATTAGTAAAAATACATTAAAACACTTTTATAACAAGAAACATTTAAAAAATTGTGTTATAAATCCACACAATAACAAATACTTAAACTATTGTGCTCCTGTGTTTTTCAAAATCTAATATTTAACATTTTTTTATCGACCGAGGATAAACAATACTTATTTATATTTCTATTGTTGACCACTGAATTGTGACAAAAAATTTGTTTATAAAACTTCCCATTTTTTTAAATATTACTACCAAATATTACTAGCACAGAATAAATAATAAATACCTGTCCTGTCACACATTTGCGACACCGGCTTATATGTTTTATCGATTACACCACCCTTATTTTTATTTTTATTTTTGATCACTGAATTGTGACAAAATTTTATGTTCATAAAACTTCCCATGTTTTTAAATATTACTGCTAAATATTAGCACAGAATAAATAATAGATATTGGATCAAAATTAGTTAATCGGCATAAAGTGGACGCTACTTTTAATCACTCGAAGAGTGGAGTTTTTTGGGTTTTTCCTAGTACCTAAGTCCTTCATCGGCTTTCGCTTTTGAGTTCAAAGAGCGCGCAAAACGCCGCGTATATTACCTATTAATTTTGTTTTGTTTATTATATTCTAGCAATAAACGACAATATGAATTTATTTAAAAAAATAATTACTACCAACTACATATTCTTTATCGAATAATATTTCATATGAAAAATACATACTAAATTTTTCCTACAAATAGTTGCAAATTTGGAATTAATCACGGTAGGTATTTTATGCATGTAATAACCTTTTTAAATATTTTCGTAGATCTATTTAGCAATAAAGTGGAAATTTATAACATAAGTATTCAAATACTATGTGTATTGGGGTTGAAATAATATCCATGTGATAATAATTTCTATTATTTTGAAATTAAAATTTTCGGAGAATAACTGAGTCTAGATAGGTATAAAGATTTACACAAAAACCTTGGGGAAGCACGCGCCGCTTAGCAGCTTGCTTTGCGTCGGTCATGTCAGTGATCTCACTCATATCGGCCGTAGACTATTAAAGGCCTTCTACACGGTCGGGACCAACCACTAACCGTCGTGACCTTGGTCGAGTTGATGTAAAAATGGACAGTGTAGACATCGGTTGTCTGACAAATATTTTGGTTGATGTCCGACGGCCTTGGTCGCGAGCGTATCGCTCACGACACGTCGGGTCCGTGGTTGATGCCGACCGTGTGGAAAGTTGTCGGCCGACGAGAGTGCCTCAGTGCGCGCTTAGCAGTCGTCGCAGGCGAATTTTTGACGGCACTATGGATACAAACGGAAGCAAAGAACGTGAGGTCCTGATCGAATTCTTGTCACTGTACTGTGATTTACCATGTATTAATTTTTTTTATAGGATAGGATGACAAACGATCACACAGTCCACCTGATGGTAAGTAGCTACTGCGGCCCATAGACATCTACATCTATCCTCGATCCGCGCCGGCCCATTCGTGCTACAACTATATAATGTAACTGCAGTATGGCTCTACCACGTTTCATCCATTTTCTTTTTTTATCTTTTTTTTTAATCTTCACTCAAGCATAGAAACGGTAAAGCTAAACCGATTTTTTCTTGTTTAGAAAAGCAAGGAGCCATTTTTAAAAGTAACTACGTTACGTCTTTACTCTTTAAATACCAGTGACAACTGACAAGTTGAGTCAACCACTCGACCGTGTAGAATGAATACAAAAATCGGTTGACCCGACCAAGGTCACGACGGTTGGTGGTTGGTCCCGACCGTGTAGAAGCGCTTATATTTATTCTGTGACGTAGATAATATTATGTCGGCACGTGTCGGTAAGTTCAGAAGCAAATAACATTTTTAGAAATTTAATATTTCTTAAATTATCTTATTAGAAACCCAAAAACCCCATAGGCAAATATACCCGTTAGTTATTCGAAATATTCCTTCCCAACAATATGGCTTTATAGGTGATCGCTAGATGCTATATATACGAACTTTGAAAATGCTTTTGACCGCGTTGATCATATCATCCTTCTTAAAAAGCTCCAGAAGCTAGGAATACGTGAGATAGAAATCGTATACTGACATCTTCCACCAAAGCAAATCAGTCTTTAAAAAAGAAATTATTTCAACATTAAGAAAGATATAATAAACACAAATACACTCACACTCTCTCTCTCTCTCACACACACACACACAAACACACTCACACACACACGCACACAATAAAATGCTTATTTCGTATCACATAATTGAATTTTCCAATAAAGCCAGAAAAAAAAGGAAAATTTCTATGTTTATCATTCTCAATAGACTTTTGGAGATGGATCGCGTTTAACAATGACTTAAAAGTCCAAAGTCCATGACGATATATATTTAAAAAAACGGGTTTTACACATTTCGTTTCACAGATTATGAACATCTTATTAATTTGTCATGTGATTTATGAATGTTAAATATAACCAATTGTTTTTTGTTACTTATCTTATTATTTTATGATTAGATACGATTTTTTGTGGTTTTATACTATGGTGTGGAAGTTATTTTTCTTTCCACACCATAGTATACCATAGTGTACAGTTGATAGGTTATAACCTGAAAAACTTATTTACTTTTCATCATTTTTCCCTGGCCTCTAAATGGAAAGGTGATAAGTTATTATGTTATTATTAACAATAATTGATTTTATGCAACAGTAGCTGTAGGTAGACGCGACCTGTAAAACGAACCAAATGACAGGTCAATTAATGTATGGAAAATGGGCATACTTCTTTCCTCATAACTTTGATTCTGTTACAGATACTGGCGGTTGTCGGGACGACCCACCGTGTGTTTGTTGGTGCGCGAAGAACACATGCGCGATCCTCACTTCAAACAAATGCTCGACTTATTTGCAATGCTTAAGAAAGGACATTGTGACGGAGTCAAAGTAAGACTTGGCCGTTTACAGAATTTAATCTCAAGCTCGTGTATAGGTTAGTATCAAAATATTTATTGATTAAAGCTACTTTTACGGATTTTATTGCGTTTATTTTATTAGATTTTTTTTTGTTTAATTTATTTGAAAAACAACCCAAGCATACCACTGCAAGACCTCAAGACACAGTAAGTTCATTCTGCGTAGATCGGCCCATAAATAATTATTAAAAAGCTGAAGGTACTCCAGGTTAACATTGGCATTAGGACGTCAGTTACTTCAGTCGCCCGTGACCATAGGTGCTGGAAAGCACCCGAAGCATCCATACTAATATTATAAATGCGAAAGTGTGTTTGTTTGTCCTTCTTTCACGTCGCAACAGAGCGTCGGCATGGCATGAATTTTGGTATGGGGATAGTTCGGTGGCTGTAGAGTGACATAGGCTACTTTTTCCGCGGAAAAACATCTCATTCCCGTTCCCGTGTGAAATATTCCATTTTCCCACGGGAATGAGATGTTTTTCCGCGGAAAAAAGTAGCCTATGTCACTCTACAGCCTCATTCCCGTGAGAAAATAGAATATGTTGCAAAAGTTTGTCCTTCTTTCACGTCGCAACAGAGCGTCGGCATGGCATGAATTTTGGTATGGGCATAGTTCGGTGGCTGTAGAGTGACATAAGCTACTTTTTTTCCGCGGAAAAACATCTCATTCCCGTGGGAAAATAGAATATGTTGCAAAAGTTTGTCCTTCTTTCACGTCGCAGCAGAGCGTCGGCATGGCATGAATTTTGGTACGAACGAAATTCAATATCGCCAGGTATGAAAGAAGGAAAATATACAAAGAAATTCCCTAAACAGCTATTAAAAGAAACAGTGCACAATGACAATGGCTACCCTTTATACAGACGTAGAGCTCCCGAAGATGGTGGTAGGAAAGTTACAATCAAATCTCGCTCTGGAGCGTTTGAAACCTTAGATTGTCCCGTATTCGCCCATTCTATGTAAAGTGTTTAATGCCCACATTGATGTAGAAGCATGTAGCTCTGTCCGCGCAATAAAGTATATCTGTAAGTACATAAATAAAAGAAGCGACCAAGCAATATTTAATCTCAGGAGTGAAGGTGAGGCAAATCCAGTTAATGAAGTACAGACCTTTCAAGCAGGGCGTTATGTCAGCAGTAACGAGGCAGCGTGGCGTCTCCTTGGCTTCCCTTTACACGAAAGGCACCCAACAGTTACTCACCTTGGGTCCTCTTGATCCGGCCGCGAAGGACCAATTGAAAAGGAACCAAATGGGTGTGTAAACGTTCAACTAAGAAACAGAAGGGGGAATCGAGGCTTCTCTCGATCCGGCCTCCTATAACGCCTACGTTGGGTTCGGGAACAACGTATGTGATCTCCGCAACGGAGTAACACACAAGGGCGATAACCTCTTCCTTTTCAGAAAATAGGTTCAGGCGGGGATTACGGGTCTTCCGAAGTCGTCCCGGTCCCAACGCCTTAATTCTTCGATGTGGACTGTATAATTTTGAGGGATGAATTTCTTGGGAATAAAACAGCAATTATCTTCAAACCGTTCCGTGAGAGAGTAATTACTTTTCCCTATCACTTCCCTACACTTTTTCTTTCTTCTTATTGACTGCTGGTCTGATTCCCGAACTTTTTTTCCCGAACTTTTTTCCCGAACGAATTGCAATAAAACTCCGTGTAGTGGCGGTTAAGAATATCCACTACCCCATATCTTCCCGTGGGTGTCGTAAAAGGCGACAGAGGGAAACAGGCAGGAGATGGGCAGCAGCATCTTCCTGATAACAGCAACTGTACGACAAAAAAAAACTGCGGTTGCCAACCCGCTCGCCAAGCGTGGCAACTATGGCAATATACCCCCCATGAACAATTACACAAATAGACGGCCCCCAGTCCCCGGCGGCTCCGCTATTCCTGGCTACGGTGGCGACCATGGTAACGGCGGGGCAGGGGGTGCTAAGAATCTCCGGTGGAGGTTAGGTTGCCACCTACGACGACTCGACCTGGCAACATTTAACGCACGCACCCTGAGGACTGACGAGAAGATCCTGGAGCTGGAAGAAGAGATAGACAAGTTGCGCTGGAGTATTATAGGATTATCCGAGGTCCGAAGAGAGGGGGAGGACACGGTGATTCTCGAATCCGGCAACTTGTTCTATCACCGAGAGGGCGACCATCTGTCCCAAGGAGGTGTCGGATTTATCGTCCACAAGTCTCTAGTCAACAACGTTGTAAAGATTGGGAGTGTGTCGACGAGGGTCGCGTACCTGATACTCAGAATCACCAAACGGTATTCGCTGAAGGTCATACAGGTTTACGCACCAACCTCGGCACATTCCGATGAGGAGGTGGAGGAAACGTATGAGGATATTTCCAAAGCCATGCATTCCTCCAAAACCCACTACACGGTGTTGATGGGAGACTTCAACGCAAAACTAGGCACAAAAGAAAACGGTGAGCTGAAGTTAGGGAAATTTGGAGTAGGGCAACGGAACCGAAGGGGCCAGCAGCTGGCCGACTTTATGGAGAAAGAGGGACTCTTTATGATGAACTCTTTCTTCCAGAAGCGGCCCCACAGGGAGTGGACCTGGGCGAGGCCCGACGGTTCGACAAAAAATGAGATTGACTTCATTATGACGACCAGACGCCAACTGTTCAGTGATGTCTCAGTGATCGCAGGGGTGAAAACTGGCAGCGATCACCGAATGGTTAGAGGCACGCTGAACCTAAACGTTAAGTTGGAGAGGTCTCTTCTAATGAAGTCAACGCTCCGTCCCCCCTCGTGCTCTAATCCAAAATCCCGAAAACTTTCAGCTCTAGTTACACAACCGCTTTCAGTGCCTACAAGATTGCAATGCAGTGGACGATATGAATGACAAGCTCGTGGAAACTGTCCATGCGGTCAGAGCTAAGTTCTGCGAGACCCGCCGCAGAAGAACACAAAAACTCTCCGATCGCACTCTTAATCTCATGGCTGTTAGACGGGAGATGAGGCTGCAATCGTCAACAGATTTGACAGCATACAGGCAACTGAACAGACAGATCTCCAAATGCATGCGGCGAGACTTACGCAACTTTAATACTGCTCGTATTAAAGAAGCGATCGAGCGGAACCAGGGCTCCAAAGCCTTTGCCAGAGATCTGTCTGCCCGTAAGAGCCAACTGTCAAGGCTGAAGACTGAGTGTGGCAGCACCGTTTCCGGGACACCTGAGATTTTGAGTGAGATTGAGAGGTTCTATGGGCAGCTGTACACATCATCGTTGGAGCCACACGCAAGTGTGAGTAACGATCCAAGAGCAAGTCTTATCCGACACTATTCCGATGATATCCCGGACGTCAGTCTAAGCGAGATTAGAATGGCTCTCCAGCACCTTAAAAACGGCAGGGCCCCAGGCGAGGATGGAATTACAGCGGAGCTTCTGAAAGCGGGTGGAACACCGGTACTTGAAGTCCTTCAGAAGCTCTTCAATTCCGTCCTCCATGGTGGCACTACGCCAGAGGCGTGGAGCAGAAGTGCGGTGGTCTTGTTCTTTAAGAAAGGCGACAACGCTCTCTTGAAGAACTACAGACCGATTTCCCTTCTGAACTGCGTCTACGTGCTGTTTTCGAGAGTCATTACGAATCGTCTCGCACGCAGACTCGACGACTTCCAGCCTCCCGAACAAGCCGGTTTCCGAAAAGGCTTCAGTACCATAGACCACATACATACCCTGCGGCAGATTGTACAGAAGACTGAAGAGTACAATTTGCCACTTTGCCTGGCGTATGTGGACTATGAGAAAGCCTTTGATTCCGTCGAAATTTGGGCGGTGCTGCAGTCCCTTCAGCGGTGCCAAGTTGACTATCGGTATATTGAAGTGCTGAAGTGTTTGTACAGTAGGGCTACGATGGCTATCCGAGTACAGAACCAGAGCTCGAAACCTATCCAACTGCAGAGAGGTGTAAGACAGGGTGACGTTATATCCCCGAAACTCTTCACCGCTGCTTTGGAAGACGTTTTCAAGCTACTGGACTGGAAAGGATACGGTATTAACATCAATGGCGAGTACATCACTCACCTTCGATTTGCCGATGATATAGTCCTTATGGCAGAATCGCTGGAGGACTTAAGCACTATGCTCAATGACCTCAATAGTGCCTCCCAACGGATAGGTCTTAAGATGAACATGGACAAAACAAAGATCATGTTTAATGTCCATGTCACACCTATGCCGGTAGTTGTTGGGAGCACTATGCTCGAAGTTGTTGACGAGTACGTTTACCTGGGACAAATAGTCCGACTAGGTAAGTCCAACTTCGACCGAGAGGTCAATCGACGGATTCAACTCGGCTGGGCAGCGTTCGGGAAATTACGACACATCTTCTCGTCAGGTATACCTCAATCTCTGAAAACTAAAGTGTACAACCAGTGCGTGTTGCCAGTGATGACTTACGGATCAGAGACGTGGTCCTTCACTGCTGGCCGTATGAGGACGCTTAAGGTCGCTCAGCGAGCTATGGAGAGGGCTATGCTCGGAGTTTCTCTGCGTGATAGACTCAGAAATGAGGATATCCGCAGTAGAACCAGAGTGACCGACATAGCACAACGGATTAGTAAGCTGAAGTGGCAATGGGCCGGCCATATAGCTCGAAGAACCGATAACCGATGGGGAAGAAAGGTTCTCGAGTGGCAGCCTCGTACCGGTGGGCGTAGTGTAGGGCGACCCCCCACTAGATGGAGTGACGACCTGGTAAGATATGCAGGAAGTCGATGGATGCAGGTGGCTCAGGACCGTGCTTTGTGGCATTACTTGGGGGAGGCCTATGTTCAGCAGTGGACTTGTGAAGGGCTGTGATGATGATGATGATGATGTGGACTGTATAATTTTGAGGGATGAATTTCTTGGGAATAAAACAGCAATTATCTTCAAACCGTTCCGTGAGAGAGTAATTACTTTTCCCTATCACTTCCCTACACTTTTTCTTTCTTCTTATTGACTGCTGGTCTTGCACTTTTCCCGAACTTTCCCGAAGGATTCCCGAACTTCCCGAACTTCCCCGAACTTTTTTTCCCGAACTATCTCGAAGGATTCCCGAAACTATGTAAAACCAATACAGGTGAACGCGCCCCATTAAGACGTATTATGAAAGTATATAACATGCATTTTTCAAATATCGATCTATTCACTTCATCACAGTTACAATTTCGCAAGAACATTCTAAGAAAGTTGGTAGATATTCAATAGTATCTTTAAATATTTTACAAGATAAATTTGTACTGCTAGCAATTTTTTTTTAATTATTTTTTTTTCCTTTTGTCTCATTTTGATTTTTATGTTACTGAGTACTGTCAATTTTATTTTATTTTCCCTTTTTCACTTATACTCTGTTTATTGTGCATTTATTATTTACTGTTACCAATTTAATATTACTTTGTGGATAACGGTGCTGGTTACATAATGACTAATATTATTTATAAAATGTTATTTGGTTTAAGCATTATTATGTAATTGTTTGTTGTCCTGAATAAATTAAAAAAAAAACTCTCATATCATCTTGCGGGCTATATAAAATGCACATGAATTGTGGGACAAATATAAAGAGTACATGGCGAAAGATATTTTGCGAAGGTTACAGCAGACACACGCGAACATAACATACAATGAACACATTTATAATGAAGCACTTGGAAAAATTGAAGATAAAGTAATGGCAATGGTAGGCAAAAAAATAAGCGACTTTGGAATGATAAGCCCTCAGCGAACAACCGAAAATGAACTAAGTGATGAAATTATACGTGAAACAAACTATAGTTCATAAAAAATAGCTTGATCTCTGCGACAGCTGTCAGTAAAATCACGACTATGAAGTCCTGAATTTCTTAGTAGTAAAGACATTACCTGTCAATGTCATACTTTATGGTTATGCCGACCTAATTAGTGCATGCCCATAAAATATGACATTGACAGGTACTGTCTGTACTACTAAGAAATTCAGGACTTCATAGGCGTGATTTTTACTGACAGCTGTCGCAGAGATCAAGCTATCTTTTATGAACCATACGATATACCAGCTTTGCAGCAGCAAGTAGCCGAATTTATACCCCGTTTTCTTCCCGAACAAAAACGAATTTTTGACAAAGTATTAGGACAAATTGAATCTGGAAATGGTGCACTTTTCTTTTTAGATGCCCCTGGAGGAACTGGGAAGACATTTTTGTTAAATTTATTATTAGCGCAAGTACGGAAAGATAAAAACATTATTGTGGCCGTAGCTTCCTCCCGTATAGCCGCCACGCTGTTAAGCGGGGGCCGCACTGCACATTCTGTTTTAAAACTCCCTCTAAATCTAGCCCAGGAAGAATCGCCGATCTGCAACTTTAGCAAAAATAGTGCACGAGGTATAATGCTACGATAATGCAAGCTTTTAGTGTGGGACGAGAGTACAATGTCGCATACAAAAGCTGTAGAAGCACTAAATCGAACGCTCCAGGATTGGCGCAGCAATACCGATGTAATGGGAGATGGTGGTTTTACTGGCTAGTGACTTTTGCCAAACTTTACCTGTCATTCAAAAGTGCACACCTACAGATGAAGTTAAAGCATGCCTCAAGTCGTCTATTTTATGGAACAAGGTGACAAAATTCAGTTTAACTACGAATATGAGAGTGCATTTGTATAATGATATCAATGCTGGAAACTATGCTGACACACTATTAAAAATTGGCGATGGGCGGTTGGAAACGGATGCTGAGGGCTGCGTTAAATTGACGAGAGATTTTTGTAATTTAGTACAGAGTCATTTCGAATTAATTGCGAGCGTTATTCAGATTTAACGAACAACATGCATGAAGACAAATGGTTATGTGAAAGGGCGATTCTTGCACCAAAAAATGAGAGCGTTAACAAAATAAATTCAGATATATTAAGCGAAGTAGCAGGAGAAATAGAGTCAGAGTATTTGTCAGTAGACACAGTTATGGACACAGAACAGAGCACTTCATATCCCGTAGAGTTTCTAAATTCTCTAGAGTTGTCAGGTGTGCCCTCACATAAGCTTCAATTAAAATTAGGCGTCCCTAATTTTAATTGCATTGCTGCGGCGTGTGATACATCTTGGACGGAACATAATCGGTGCTACAATTTTGACAGGCGTAGGAAAAGGTGAAAATGTTATTATACCACGGATCCCTATAATTCCCACAGATCTTCCTTTTCAATTCAAAAGGTTGCAGTTCCCTATTAAGCTCAGTTTTGTAATGACAATTAATAAAGCGCAAGGGCAAACGTTACAGGTAGCGGGGGTCAACTTAGAAAAACCGTGCTTCTCACATGGTCAGCTGTATGTAGCATGTTAGCGTGTGTCAAATGCCCAGAATCTCCACATTCTTTCCCCGAATGGAAAAACATATAACATTGTGTACAGTAGCGTCTTACTATTTGTGTTCAGTTATTATTTTTTTTTTCCAAAATTCCCACAATCAATTAATCAGAATTCCCACTGATCTTCCCTTTCAATTCAAAATTTCCTATTTAGCTCAGTTTCTTTTCAACGCCAAATGCTGCACCTCTGACGGACCTATTAAGCTCAGTTTCCTTTCAACTCAAAAGGCTGCATCTCTGACGTATCTTTTATTTGGCTCAGTTTCCTTTCAATTCAGAAAACTGCATCTCTGACGAATCAATTTAGCTCAGTTTCTTTTCAAAAGTCTGCATCCCTGACGGATAATTATGCTCAGTTTCCTTTAATTGAAAAAATATCCCATTTCCATTTGGAATAAACAGGCTATTTTCATGCTTTCCTATACGCTGCGTTTCATAATATTTAAGTAGGCTGACGAATCAATTTTACTCAGTTTCCTTTTAATGGCTGCATCTCTGACAAATCTATAAAACTTAGTTTTCTTTCAATTCAAAAAGCAATGGATAGTTTATTTCCCAATGACCATGCGGGCGAAGCCGCGGGTAACAGCTAGTTGGGAATAAAAATCAAATAAACTAAACGCGATAAAATCTGTAAAAGTAGTTTTAATCAATGTGTAGTGTTTGCGTAAATATAAGAAATTATTATGAAATTATTTATTTAAAATGCATTAAAATAAGAGAAAAACAATCGTGTGGTGTCATCGTGAGAGAATTGAATATACCATAACATTCTGTGGGTGTCGTAAGAAGCGCTATAGTACGTTTCTAGGTCAGGCGGAAAAAAGTACATTGACCTTTGACGATATCATCGGGGTAGGCAATCTTTTTTCTTTAGATTCATTTTTTTATCCTTTTATCATTACGTACATCATCAGAGTGAAAGATAAGGGTGCTGAGTGCGAAGTTTTTTACAGGCCCTCTGTGTATTATTATATAATAAAGAAAGAAGATTATCCTGTACCTAAGTGAATTAAAAAGCAAATTAATATTAATTTAAGTTTATTATTTATAAATCATGAGTTATTACAATTTTCATTTCTACGTTAATAGTAGGTAAGTACTTTAATAAGTAGGTAGGTAGGTAGTTGTATAAAACATAACCACTTCTTGGCAGTCAGGTAAAAAGACGAACTTTTAATGCTAAGCATTCTTAAGTAGCCAACCTTGTAGCATGCATAAAACTGCTCATAATAGATCTGTATCTATTTCAGAATCATTTTATGATGATGAAGACGTAGAAGAGTCCGTCACATTGATTATAACCTAAAATATCGAGAGTCTTCTTTTTCATATCCGTTTTGGATGAATATACGTCACTAGACCACGTTTCTTTTACATATTTATAGATGTTTACAATCATTATTTTTTCGGTTTCCGAAATATGCGACACTTCCCGCTTCTTCCGTGGTGACGTAAAATCTTTATGAGATTTTCATGTCGATGGATCTGATTTCATACTAGTGATAATATACAAAACGTCACAAAACAATAATAAAAACTTTAGTACAAAACGTAATAATACAACTAACAAAACAAACTTAATAAAAATGAAAACAACTACTATAACCGAAATTTTTAAATCTCAAACTATCTACACGCAAGCGCATCCCAAAGCAGCGTCAGACCTATCGCAAATGTTGTCGAAACAGGTTTATTATTTCTGTATGACCGCTTCCTTCACCCTACCCCGTACCACTGAGACACGCTTAGCGCATAACGATACGTAATCTATAAAGAAATGTATGGAAGCAATAACTGTCGTTTTGTTTCGATGCTAACATAATACTTGAGGTCAATGTACTTTTTTCCGCCTGCCCTAGAAATGTACTATAGTAGGAAATTAAACCATAATATATATGGGGGAATATATCTGGATGAAGAAAAAAAGAATATACAAAGTTTACTCAAATATCAATATCTTACACTATTATACGAGAAATATTTATTTCATTATCATTATTATCGTCGTCATTGTCATTATTACGGCCTATCACAAGTCTGCTGCTGAACTACAACTTTGTGAAAGTATTTATATATTTTTTTATAGGAGTTAAGGGGTAAACGAGCATACGACTCACTTGATGTTAACTACCGCCGCCCATGAACAATTGCAACACCAGAGGAATTTCAGGTGCGTTGCCGGCCTTTTAGAAAGGAGTAGGCTCTTTTCTTGAAGGTCTCCGAGTGTTATCGGTTCGGAAAAATCGCCAGTGGTAAACAATTCCACAGAGAGGTCGTACACGGAAGAAAACTCCTAGTGAAACGTAAAGTGTTGGATCGCCAAGCATCCGGATGGTGTGGATGGTATCGGGAATTTTGCCGCGTAGTGCGTTCATGAAATTTGGCGGCTGGGATTAATCCGAACAATTCCTCAGAGCACTCCCCGTGGTAGATAAAATCAGCCGCTTTTCTACTTTATAGAGCACTTAGACTTCATGAGTCAAGGCGAGTTCCCATCGGAGATGTTCACCCAGTTCAAACAGCTGGAACACGAGTACATCGGTTACCAGTCACTGACGGACGTGCCGCGTACACTCACTTACCGCGAGGATAATCTTAATTACGAGTCGTACAAGGACAAGCCCACGCACGAAGTAGTCTCAGCTTTACGATCCACTGACAATATTTTCGCACAATGCCAACTGTGGGGCATACTGCTTGAGAGGGAAGGACCTATGTATGAGGTAAGTTCAATTTTAATAGTAATAATCTCTTACAAGCCGTATTTAAGTCACGGCGGCCTTGTTAGTATTATGGACTCTGTTACTCTTGCTACCTCCGTGATGTTAATACCTACAATCTCGCAGAACCTCAGGTTACATACGCAGTCAGGGCTAGCGCGTTTTTAGCGAGCGACGTACTAGTGAATTGCAAAGTTCAAATTTGTATATTTAGTTATAGGATAAAGTAGTTGTATAAGTTTTAGTGTAAATTATTTATATTTATATATACCGGCTGTCCTGAAACTCAACGCCAAGCTGGTACGGTAAAATACGAAAAAGTTGCAATAATATTTTTATGGAAAGATAAGTAGCAGAGATGGGTAGAGATAAAGTAGTTTATGGATTTCACCGAATACGAATATTCGGCCAAAAGTTCGGTAAAACTTTTACCGACCCAAATATTCGGCCGAAAATTATTTGGCAGGATCACCTCGGTACCATCAATTTATGTCGAAACTTGTTACCGTAAAGCGCACGGGATTAGCGCCGGAGCTCCGTTAGTTCCCACGGGAATGAGATGTTTTTCCGCGGAAGAAAGTAGCCTATATCACTCTACAGCCTCATTCCCGTGGGAAAATAGAATATGTTGCGAAAGTTTGTCCTTCTTTCACGTCGCAACAGAGCGTCGGCATAGCATGAATTTTGTATGGAAATAGTTCGGTGGCTGTAGAGTGACATAGGCTACTTTTTTCAGCGGAAAACATATCATTCCCGTGGGAAAATCGAACATGTTTCAAAATTAAATTCAGCTAGGTGGCGCCACCGTGATTCTACAAGACGGACGACGGTACGATGGACGAACACAGAAGGTCAGAATATCTGGATTATTATGTCTTTTTACCAAAATTAAGATAAAAAATTTGATGGATCTGTATTTTTCCACGTAGGACCGGGAAGAGAGCGATAAAAAACATAAAATTCACCAGCTGATTTTCTTCAAACGTTTTGGTGCATTGTAATTCACAGAATAGGCGATAACCTCGCAGACGATATTAAGTAATCCGTTGATGCTCTGCCTACCCCGCAAGGGTTACAGGCGTGATTATAAGTATGGATCAGAAATATTATTACCACCTGTCACGCTTTCACCCTTAACTATTACTTAACTGTGGTAGAAACAGTTCTTAGTAAGCCTTATTAATAAGCCTTACTAATATTTATTGAACGGAAATGAATACAGTTCTTATATGTGGTTATGAATGAATCGGCATTACAATAAGAAAAATTGTGCAAAATTATAAGAAAAATATTTTTTGAGAGTTCTTATTAACTAACGTACACATAGTTTAAATTGATTCCGCTAGATGTCGTTACTAGGTTTTAAAACGCGGTAACGAAATGTTTCTTGACATGTACTTTACTCCCGCCGTTGCGCCGCGCGTCAACTTATAGTGCATACGGTACCTATACGCTTAATTGTTTCTATTTCGTAGCTTATTCGACTACCTGCTTTCGATTTCGGTTGTTTGTTATTTGCTTTGTGATTTGGTTAAGGTTGAATGGATTTATATTGGCTTTCATTTTCGGATTTGTGTATTTTCTTGGATCGGTTTTGTTGATTTGGTTGGTATTCCTTTATACATATTTAGACTCTGGCTTTGATTTTGGATTTTATTTATTTAGAATCGTGAATTGGTTTTCGTTGTTTTAGGTTGTTTAACAATATTTCAAAGGAATATTAGTAGTATAGATAGTGTATACGGTACCTATACACTTACTTCTTTTTTCGTTGGTTATATTTATATTGACTACTGCTTTCGATTTCGGTTTTCTGCGATTTGTTTTGTGATTTGGTTGATTCGATTTTTTTGGCTATCGTTTTCGGATTCGTGTTGTGTCTTGAATTGGTTTTGTTGTTTTGATTTCAAAAAATATTTAAAAGGAATATTTATTCCTTTTAGATATTTTGGATTTGCTTTTAAAAAAATATTTAAAAGGAAATTTAATTCCTTTTAGATATTTTAACGTTTTTTATATAAATAGGTTTTTTGTTACTTCATAATGCCTCGCAAACGTAAGTCCAGCCTTTCAAGAGTACCTTCTCAAAGACAAGCGAAAAGATTAGCTCGATCGCTAGAATCTTCAGAAGATGCTGAACTGAGAAGGCAAGAACAAGCAGAGCGTCAGGCTGCTTTTAGAGCATTGAGATACCTTCTCAACGTCAGCAAAGGTGTCTTGAACAGACAGAGCGTCAGGCTGCTTTAAGAGCTTCCGAAACACCTTCTCAAAGTCAGGAAAGGCGTCTTGAACAGGCAGAGCGTCAAGCTACTTTAAGAGCTTCTGAAACACCTGCTCAAAGTCAGCAAAGGCGTATTGAACAGGCAGAGCGTCAAGCTACTTTAAGAGCTACTGAAACACCTGATCAAAGTCAGCAAAAACGTCAGGCCGCCTTAAGAGCCGCGGAAACGCCTGATGTAACTCAACACAGACTCATTGAGCAAGCTGAACGTCAATCTACTTATAAGGGCATCTGAAACACCAGGACAGACACAGGCGCGAAGAGATGCAAATGCACAGCTCCAAGCTGAATGTCGACAAAAATTTCAAAGAACCAATTGGTCGGTTTGTAATGACGCAGCATTCAATTATGATCCGTTGATTGATTATAAAAATCACAGGTTAGTTGTTATCGGACTGATGGACAAGGCGTGTCGATTTTGCAGCGCTTTAAAATGGAAAGATGAGACCGCAGGCATGTGCTGTTCCAATGGCAAAGTGTCACTTCCGTTACTTGGGGAACCAGAAGAACCTTTGAAAGCTCTCTTTTTTATGATGCTAATGAGTCACGGCGCTTTTTAAACAGGATCCGGAAATATAACTCATGCTTTCAAATGACGTCCTTCGGAGTTGACCGGGAAATAATAATGCCGGGATTTTCGCCTACATTTACGGTACTAGGGCAAATTTATCATAGAATAGGTTCACTTTTTCCAGCTGAAAACGAACAGCATAAATTTTTACAAGTATATTTTATGGGTGACGAAGAAATTGAGGTAGACCGTCGCTGCCATCCAGGGAGGATCCGGGGAGTTGAGAGAGATACAGTGTTTAAAATTCAAAGATTCTTGCATGAACGTAACATTTTAGTCAAAACATTTAAAACTGCTTTAGAAAACCTACCTGAAGAGGATTATAAAGTCGTCATTCACGCAGATCGCACCCCTCGAGGAGAGCATGAAAGGCACTAGAATGCACCTTTGATAAACGAAATAGCAGCCGTAGTTAGTGGTGATCAATTTTCTTCACGAGACATTGTCTTGCGAGCACGTGATGATACGTTGCAACGGGTAGCCGATACACACAAGTTTTATGACGCTCTGCAATACCCATTGATTTATTGCAAAGGACAAGAGGGTTATCATTTTCAAATTCCACTCATTAACCCGGTTTCAAATGGATTTTTATGCGTATCATATGATGTTGCGAGAAAATGATTTTAACATCTTAGTCCGGTGTAGACAATTATTTCATCAAATTTTGGTAGACATGTATATGAAGGTAGAAATTGAACGTCTCCGTTATATATCTTTAAATCAAAAAAGCTGCGCGTTGAGAATTATATACATTTACAAGATGCAGTTTCTAGCGACGCCAATGTAAACCCCAGAGATTTAGGTAAAATGGTAATTCTGCCCTCATCATTCGTTAACAGTCCTCGCTACCTACATGAGTACACACAAGACGCATTCGCCTATGTACGAACTTACGGAAGACCTGATCTTTTTGTTACTTTTACTTGCAATCCTACATGGAAAGAAATAACCGAGGAGCTAATGCCGGGCCAAAAAAGTACTGACAAACATGATTTAATTGCTAGAGTATTTAGATTAAAAGTACAAAAATTAATGTATGTAATTAACAAACGGAAAATTTTCGGAGAGGTGCAGTGGTTCATGTATTCAATTGAATGGCAAAAAAGAGGATTATCGCATGCCCACATTCTAATATGGCTTAAAGAGAAGTTGCGGCCCAGCCAAATAGACGACATAATAAGCGCCGAGATTCCGGATCCTGAGCAATATAAAGAATTGTATGATACCATCGTCCGAAATATGATTCACGGTCCATGTGGAGCACGAAATTCAATATCGCCATGTATGAAAGAAGGAAAATGTACAAAGAAATTCCCTAAACAGCTATTAAAAGAAACAGTGCACAGTGAAAATGGCTACCCTTTATACAGACGCGGAGCTCCCGAAGATGGTGGCAGGAAAGTTACAATCAAATCTCGCTCTGGAGCGTTCGAAACCTTAGATAACAGCTGGATTGTTAAAATGTTTAATGCCCACATTAATGTAGAAGCATGTAGCTCTGTCCGCGCAATCAAATATATCTGTAAGTACATAAATAAAGGAAGGTGAGGCAAATCCCGTTAATGAAGTACAGACCTTTCAAGCAGGACGTTATGTCAGCAGTAACGAGGCAGCGTTGCGTCTCCTTGGCTTCCCTTTACACGAAAGGCACCCAACAGTTACTCACCTTGCTGTGCACTTAGAAAATGGAGAGCGTGTATATTTCACCGAAAGAAATTTCCAAGAAAGAATTGCATCACCGCCAAAAACTACACTAACAGCCTTCTTTCAACTTTGTCAAACCGACCCCTTTGCAAAAACGTTGTTATATTCTGAAGTCCCCCGCAATTATACTTGGAACACATCTAGGAAGGAGTGGAAACGCCGTATTCAAGGCGCGCCTGTTGCAAATTGGCCCGGTGTAAAGTCATCAGATGCCCTTGGTCGTGTGTATACCGTCCATGTAACTAATTTTGAATGTTTCTGTTTACGAATTGCTGCTGCACCATGTTCGGGGTCCTACAGGTTATAAAGACCTTAAAACTGTCAACGGTCAGGAGTGCGCTCTTTATAGAGAAGCATGTGAAGCTCTGCATCTTTTAGAAAACGATAAACACTGGGACGAAACCATGGAGGAAGCTGTGCAGTGCCAGTCACCAGCCAAAATTA